CGAGGCGAGGCGAGGCGAGACGGAGCGAAGACGGCGGTCGGCGCGGCGGAGTGTTCCTCTCGTTCTCCGCTCGCATTACTCCGATTGCTCGCAGTGCTTGTAGTGCGGTCGCTACTCGTTGTCGTCAGTTGCCGTACGCGATCACGCGCCGCGTAGACCGTGGTATACTTACATAGCGTCGTTGCCAGTCGTCGCTCGTCGCTCCTGCGTTTCTCAAAACGGTGAGAAAACGCGCATTTCCTGAATCCTACGTCGCGCCGTCGACACCGCGCCGCGCGTCGACGAATCGCGTGCGACGTGGTGCAACGGTGATCGAAGCAAGTGATACTCGGGCGTACATCTGTCTGAAAATCGTTTGCGATGTGTGCTGCACGAAGCATTTTTCGAGAACATGGTGGCGACGAGAATCTTGAACTTTCCGTGACGTGGACGTCCCGAGCGTATGAGTGAAAATCTCGTATCGTTTTTCCTTACGGTGGGTGCATTTTCAGCTGATATTTCAAATTTTACTGATCAGAGATCGCGTCTGCCGTTCTCGAGTTTCGTTAAAAGTCAGTGGTGATGCAAATTGTGAAACGGTAGCTACGTGCGTCGGATTATCTTTAAGTCCGTGTCACATTACGCACTGGCAACTGAGGATTGCGAATTAAATATTAGAATTCGATCAGTCAAATAATTTTAATTTTAATCCGCTTCGTTTAGAATTCTTATCTTTAACTCGCAATTCTTAATCTCCAATGCGTAGAATGACATGGGTTTTAAGCCACGAGTTTAAAATATGTGATGTGACACGATACACGGGCTTTAGCCATAAAATCCGCGTAAAAGTAAAGTTGCGATATTAGAAATTGATAGCATGTGAGATAACGCACATGAAATTGTTGTATTGGACAAATTCATAACGTTATTACTGAACTGATTTAATCCATATATTTTCTCATTCTCTGTTCTACATGATTGAGAAAAATACCAACTCATCAAGGAAAATGTGTCGCTGTATCATCTCGGTTATGTTAGACACCAGCTAATGTGCGAGTTTCGCAAAATAAAAAGAGACATACTTACCTGTGCACTGTGTAGCGACGTGAGAGTGCGCCAATATTTCTTACCACGTTTATAACGCTCCGACCGTCCGTCAATCGCGATGGAACCCCGTATTTAAAAGTCAAATTTCTGCTTTTCCAAATAACATGTTGCATATATAAATTTATCGTGATTACTAAATCGTTATTACTAAATCGTGATCACTTTGCTTTCGTGATTTTCACGACACTACAGTAAGTCTCGATTCGATTTTTATTCTATGTATAAAAGTCATTAAAAGGATTAATATAATGAAAACGTTCAGAGTTCAGAGTACTTATTATATGGAACATGTCGGAATGAATTCCGATCGGAATAATTCCGTTTTCCCTAGAAAACACAATAGAAATCTAGGGAATAATTGAATAATTCCGATCGGAATCTATTCCGATTTTTTCCATGATAGGTGCCCTGTTCCTCTACTTTTAAAGTTAATTCAGAAATACAAGAAAATAAAAATATCTGTCTGAATCTACATTGATTATGAGAAATATTGTTTGTTGATTTATTTAGTTTTTTAGAGTTGCTATTATGCGGGGTCAACAATAGAAGTCGTAGCGGTCGTAGGATCTTAAGTCGTAGATAATTGACCAATCACAGTCGATTATTCTTCTCATATTCGACTGTGATTGGTCAATTTTCAACGACTTAAGACTCTACGACCGCTACGACTTCTATTGTAGACCCCGCGTTAGAGTCCGATCAAAATCACATTTTGATCTCCGGCCGAAACCGAAAACGAATATTCGGTTGTCATTCAATTTCGGCCGAAATCAAAACTGAAATATTAGATAAGTCTTACTAAAAAAAAAAGAGAGTAAGAGAGAAGCTAATGGAGTCACATTTTTTTCGGCCGGAGTCAAAATCGACATTTTTGGATTAAATTTACAGAGACCGTATGATTTTCAGAAATCATATAACAAAATCTACTCTTTAAAAAACAAGATTTTATTAAAATATCTAACTATAATAATATAATAATATTGCATCCTCTTTTAAAGAAATCAAATCACAATTATTATTAGGATTATATCAAAGTTTGTACTCAAATTGTTTAAAGCTTAATCAACGATTTAATAATTAAAATCGAACAGTTGTTTTTTGAACGCTCACCGGTCTGTTGCAGTTTGTACAGTTTCGATTTACCCACTGAAATTTTCTCTTAATTTCGGCCGAAACCGAAATCAAACCGAAACCCTAATTTTTGACCGAAACTAATCGAAACCGAAATTTCTGTGGGACTTTAGTTGCTATCTCTTGTAAAAAAAAAAAATACGAAACATCCCGCAGAAAATGCCTATAAAGTTAACTGCCTGCAAATACTGCGATACGAAAGAATGTATGATACTCACATAATAAATGACACTATCATTAGAAAAATCATATTTGTTTGTCTCATTTATTATCCAAAGCTCTTCTTTTATCCAGTTTCCAATTATCCATTTGTCACAAAACTATAATCGATGCCCGCGATTGATTTTCTCTCGCTCAGAGATAGACAAAAAAAAGAAGAAAATATTACGTCATTGAATATTCTCCTTTCCGTGATCGCTCTGTACAAGAAGTAGGTTTGAGACATCGGCAATACAATTACTTCGCTCCTCGCAATTTTCATAGATCGAGAAAGAAAGAGAGAGAGAGAGAGAGAGAGGAATGACATATGTATTTACAATACGTATTGTATGCCCCTTCAGGCAGATTTTAGGTTTAGGCTTAATTCGCTAGACACTGATTAACACAGCGCTAGAATATATCCGCAATACTACCTACAGGCTGGTATAGTAACGTGTAGTAATAAGTTCGTTGTTTGTTTTTCTCTCGCGTTTGTACATTTAAAAATGTCGTTATGGATATTTTTTACCATGATGTGGATAATACACACCATGATAGTATTGATATAAATCAGGGATGCATATCTGGAAAATGTCCGGTATTATCCGGTACTTTTTTTACTGTCCAGTCGGATAGCCGGATATCATTAGTATCCAGCAATATATATATATATATATATATA